TTTATTATGTTGAGGTAGGTTCCCTCTATGCCCACTTTCTGGAGAGTTTTTATCATAAATTGGTGTTGAATTTTGTCAAAAGGTTTTTCTGCATCTATTGAGATGATCATATGGTTTTTCTCCTTCAGTTTGTTAATATGGTGTATCACATTGATTGATTTGTGTATATTGAAGAATCCTTGCATCCCTGGGATAAATCCCACTTGATCATGGTGTATGATCCTTTTAATGTGTGGCTGGATTCTGTTTGCTAGTATTTTGTTGAGGAGTTTTGCATCTATATTCATCAGTGATATTGGTCTGTAATTTTGTTTTTTTGTAGTATCTTTGTCTGGTAGTACCTTTGTCTGGTTTTGGTATCAGGGTGATGGTGGCCTCATAGAATGAGTTTGGGAGTGTTCCTTCCTCTGAAATTTTTTGGAAGAGTTTGAGAAGGATGGGTGTTAGCTCTTCTCTAAATGTTTCATAGGATTCACCTGTGAAGCCATCTGGTCCTGGACTTTTGTTTGCTGGAATATTTTTAATCACAGTTTCAATTTCATTACTTGTGACTGGTCTGTTCATATTTTCTATTTCTTCCTGGTTCAGTCTTGGAAGGTTATACCTTTCTAAGAATTCGTCCATTTCTTCCTGGTTGTTCATTTTATTGGCATAGAGTTGCTTGTAGTAGTCTCTTAGGATGCTTTGTATTTCTGCGGTGTCTGTTGTAACTTCTCCTTTTTCGTTCCTAATTTTATTGATTTGCGTCCTCTCCCTCTTTTTCTTGATGAGTCTGGCTAAAGGTTTATCAATTTTGTTTATCTTCTCAAAGAACCAGCTTTTAGTTTTATTGATCTTTGCTATCGTTTTCTTTCTTTCTTTTTTTAAAAAAATTATTTATTTACTTTTGGCTACTTTGGGTCTTTGTTGCTGTGCGTGGGCTTTCTCTAGCTGCGGTGAGCGGTGTCCACTCTTTTTTTGTTGTGGTGTGTGGGCTTCTCATTGCGGTGGCCTCTCTTTGTTGCAGAACACGGGCTCCAGGCGCGTGGGCTTCAGCAGTTGTGGCATGCGGGCTCAGCATTTGTGGCTCAGGGGCTCCAGAGCACAGGCTCAGCAGCTGTGGCGCACGGGCCCAGTTGCTCCGCAGCATGTGAGATCATCCCAGTCCAGGGCTCGAACGCATGTCCCCTGCGTTGGCAGGCGGATTCTTAACCACTGCGCCACCAGGGAAGTCCCTTTTTGTTTCTACTTCATTTATTTCTGCTCTGATCTTTATGATTTCTTTCCTTCTACTAACTTTGGGTTTTGTTTGTTCTTCTTTCTCTAGTTCCTTTAGGTGTAAGGTTAGATTGTTTATTTGAGATTTTTCTTGTTTCTTGAGGTAGGCTTGTATTGCTATAAACTTCCCCTTAGAACTGCTTTTTCTGCATCCCATAGGTTTTGGATCGTCATGTTTTCATTGTCATTTGTCTTAGGTATCTTTTGATTTCCTCTTTGATTTCTTCAGTAATCTCTTGGTTATTTAGTAACCTATTGTTTAGCCTCCATGTGTTTGTGTTTTTTATGGTTTTTTTTCCCTGTAGTTGATTTCTAATCTCATAGCATTGTGGCTGGAAAAGATGCTTGATATGATTTCAGTTTTCTTAAATTTACTGAGGCTTGATTTGTGGCCCAAGATGTGGCCTATCCTGGAGAATGTTCTGTGTGCACTTGAGAAGAAAGTGTAATCTGCTGTTTTGGGATGGAATGTCCTATGAATATCAATTAAATCTATCTGGTCTATTGTGTCATTTAAAGCTTGTGGTTCCTTATTAATTTTCTGTCTGGATGATCTGTCCATTTGTGTAAGTGAGGTGTTAAAGCCCCCCACTATTACTGTGTTACTGTCGATTTCCTCTTTTATAGCTGTTAGCAGTTGCCTTATGTATTGAGGTGCTCCTATGTTGGGTGCATATATATTTATAATTGTTATATCTTCTTGGATTGATCCCTTGATCATTATGTAGTGTCCTTCCTTGTCTCTTGTAACATTCTTTATTTTAAAGTCTCTTTTATCTGATATGAGTATTGCTACTCCAGCTTTCTTTTGATTTCCATTTGCATGGAATATCTTTTTCCATCCCCTCACTTTCAGTCTGTGTGTGTCCCTAGGTGTGAAGTGAGTCTCTTGTAGACAGCATATATATGGGTCTTGTTTTTGTGTCCATTCAGCGAGCCTATGTCTCTTGGTTGGAGCATTTAATCCATTCACGTTTAAGGTAATTATTGATATGTATGTTCCTATTACCATTTTATTACTTGTTATGGGTTTGTTTTTGTAGGTCCTTTTCCTCTCTTGTGTTTCCCACTTAGAGAAGTTCCTTTAGCATTTGTTGTAGAGCTGGTTTGGTGGTGCTGAATTCTCTTAGCTTTTGCTTGTCTGTAAATCTTTTTTTTTTTTTTTTGTCTATAAATCTTTTGATTTCTCTGTCGAATCTGAATGAGATCCTTGCCAAGTAGAGTAATCTTGGTTGTAGGTTCTTCCCTTTCATCACTTTAAATATATCGTGCCACTCCCTCCTGGCTTGTAGAGTTTCTGCTGAGAAATCAGCTGTTAACCTTATGGGAGTTCCCTTGTATGTTATTTGTTGTTTTTCCCTTGCTGCTTTCAATAATTTTTCTTTGTCTTTAATTTTTATCAATTTGATTACTATGTGTTTTGCCGTGTTTCTCCTTGGGTCTATCCTGCCTGGGACTCTGCACTTCCTGGACTTGGGTAGCTCTTTCCTTTCCCATGTTAGGGAAGTTTTCGATTATAATCTCTTCAAATATTTTCTTGGGTCCTTTCTCTCTTCTCCTTCTGGGACCCCTGTAATGTGAATGTTGTTGCATTTAATGTTGTCCCAGAGGTCTCTTAGGCTGTCTTTGTTTCTTTTCATTCTTTTTTCTTTATTCTGTTCCGCAGCAGTGAATTCCACCATTCTGTCTTCCAGGTCACTTATCCGTTCTTCTGCCTCAGTTATTCTGCTATTGATTCCTTCTAGTGTATTTTTCATTTCAGTTATTGTATTGTTCATCTCTGTTTGTTTGTTCTTTAATTCTTCTAGGTGTTTGTTCTTTAATTCTTCTAGGTCTTTGTTAAACATTTCTTGCATCTTCTCAATCTTTGCCTCCATTCTTTTTTCGAGGTCCTGGATCATCTTCACTATCATTATTCTGAATTCTTTTTCTGGAAGGTTGCCTATCTCCACTTCATTTAGTTGTTTTTCTGGGGTTTTATCTTGTTCCTTCATCTGGTACAAAGTCCTCTGCCTTTTCATTTTGTCTATCTTTCTGTGAATGTGGTTTTCCTTCCACAGGCTGCAGAATTGTAGTTCTTCTTCTGATGTGCAAAAGCTTTTAAGTTTGATTAGGTCACCTTTGTTCATTTTTCCTTTTATTTCTATTCCTTTGGGAGACTGACCTGAGAAAATATTGGTACAATTTATGTCAGAATGTTTTGCCTATGTTCTCTTCTAGGAGTTTTATGGTGTTATGTTTAAGTCTTTAAGCCATTTTGAGTTTATTTTTGTGTATAGTGTAAGGGTGTGTTCTAACTTCATTGATTTACATGCACCTGTCCAGCTTTCCCAACACTAGGGACAGTCTTCAATGCTCAGTATCTGGGGCCCTGGCACCCCGGGTCCGCAAGAGTTGAGTCCTAAGACAGCCAGGTTTCCGGGAAGTTCAGCCAGGAGGGGGCCTTGAGAGCCCAGGATTTGGGTCTTCTGATGGGAGGTGGTAAATCTCCAGAGGCTGGAACTCAACATTACATGCTCAGCTGAACCACTTCCACTCAGCAGCACGTCCTGTCCCATCTAAACCCCCACAGAGACCTCTGACCCCTAAACTGAGGCAGGCGTGCCCTGGAGATACCCCTAGGCAGGTCCCAGATTACCGACAGGGGACAGAAGAAGAGTGAGGCTCATCTGCTCCTCCCCTGGGAACACCAGACCTGCTTCAGGACTCAGTTTTCCCATCTGATAACAGGCCTGCAAAACATTCCCTGGAAGAGCCTGGCCACCTCCGCAGGTCAGTGTTGCACCATGGGTACACGTAGACACAGGTATGTGCAAGTGTGCACACATACAGGCAGACACATGCATAAATGTACATGTACACAGGCAAGTGCACACATGCACATATACATGCACTTATACATTCATGCGCACACACGCACACATGAACCCAGTTTAGCACAATAAAGTACACATACAAACACATCTGCACATGAAGAGAAATGCACAAAAGCACATCCATGCACATGCACACACGGTACACAAACAGGCAAACATAGACACACACATGCATTCACAAAGGCATAAAAATGCATACATAAACACACAAGTATACATAGACAAACGTGTCATGTCATTGCCTTGCTTGGTGCCAGTAAAGTATACATGCACACACCCAGTACACGTAGCAGACCTGCACACCCACCCAAGTCCATTGGAATCATGGAGGCATGTAGAGGCCTTGACCAGGTCAGATCCAGACCTTTGTACAGGGCAAATGCAATGTCCACCTTTCCCTCTTGACTCCCTGCTGAGCATGGAGCCCTGGTTCAGAGTCACGAGCCCTTCTCAACTACGTCCTGCTGTGCGACCCTCTGAGCCTCCACTTCCTCATCAGTAAAATGATGTGGGTACCCATCCGCCAGGGCTGGTGTGAGCTAGGTAAGGAGCAATGCTAAGCCCAGTGCTGGGCAGGGGTCAGGTGCTCCTTGCATGCTTTTCCCTCTGCTCTCTGCTGCCAGGCCTACCCCCCAATGCCCCCCCCCCCGGGACTTGAGGCCCTCTCCTCCCCTTTCTGAGCCTGGATCCTATGGAACATGTCTCCCTGCTCTGGAGCAGGGCTGGACTACCTCCAGGGTCTCTCCCAGAGGGTTTGGGGAGCAGCGTACAGGGGGTGCAGAGTCAGCAGTTGAGGGATTGGGGCCATGCCAGCCTGATTAGGGCGGCTGGGGGCTGAGCTGGATTCACCTGTCCTTGTCTCTGATTGGCTCTTGGGTACCAACAACCCCCCAAATCCTACTAAGCAGCCCCAACAGGGCCTTCACAGGTCTGTGGACAGCCAGTTGATTGCCAGTTCTGAGGTCAGAAGGGTGTCTGGAGAGGCCAGAGGCTGGCCTGAGCCTGGCTCTGGGGATCCCCTGCATCCAGAAGAGCCAACTGACCACCCTGTTCCTTCACCTCCTGCCGGGACCATGGGGGCTGGGGCCAGTGCTGAGGAGAAGCACTCAAGGGAGCTGGAAAAGAAGCTGAAAGAAGATGCCGAGAAGGATGCTCGAACCGTGAAACTGCTGCTTCTGGGTAAGGGTGTGGGCTGCGGCGAGGCCACTGCTACTAGTCAGAGGCCCAGGGGCAGGGAGGTGGCCCTTCTGTGAAGTAGGTGTGACTTGGGAAACAGAATGAGCCTGCAACCTGGCAGGAAACAGAGTGGGAGCCCTGGCCAAGCCTTGACAAGTGATGCCTTGGCTCCCTAAGGCTGGGTATCCCACAGAACCCCTCTTCAGAGGGCCCAGCCTCAGGCAACCTCCCCTCCCAAGACGGGTGTACCAATCTCACTTTTGTAGAGATGTGTGTACGAGGCCTAGTTTTGCCCTGGCTGTGCTCCCTCAAACACCAGCCTTTGGCTTGATGGGCCTGCTGGGCAGGGCTCGGAAACCAGGGGCCTCCTTGGGAGCCCCACAGCAAGGCTGCTCCCTTGGGAAGGAGAAGGTCACAGTCCTCCTGAGAGTGGGCAGCCTCTAGGACCACCCAGATCCACAGACAATGACCCTCAGTTTCCAGAGCTTTATTGTTGACAGACCTGCAGAACAGTTAAAGAGGGTAGGGGGTACTAAGGCCCAGCCGGGAATAGGTAAAGCCATGTCCTTGGTCCCATGGGTAGTGAAGGGAGATGGGGCTGATCTAGTACCCCAAGGCCACTTCCTCCCCGCAAGGGAAGAAGGAGCTGCTTTGAGAGGGCAGTGCAGGCTCTACCCAGGCTCTCCAGGGTCCAGCCAGACAGCTGGATGAGGGCAGAAGGACCAAGCCAGAGTACCCCAGGGAAGAGAGAGAGGCTAAGCCAGAAATCCCATTAACTGTGCCCAACACCCGCATGAGAACAGGCTCAGAGGGGCTGTTAGCTCTGTCCTCTCCCCCAGCAAAAGGTGCTAATTCCCTCTGAACCTCTTGGAGACACTTCCTCCCACCACAGGTTAAAAGCAGGGGTTGACCTGGCTCAAATAATCCCATGCATGCAGTACCAGAATCTTCCACAAGGCGGAGCTCCAGGTTTCTTTATTTTTGTCCTCAGAATAATAAAACTGAAAATACCAGGGTCTTGAAGGCTCCTCAGCACAGTCGAGGTTGTCGATTCCCCTCGTCAGCCCCCTTCTGTCACTCCTGACGTTTACGTTTTGCCGCCAGGGCTTCATGACCTGACTTTGGGGGTTGGGGGCAAAACAGGTGTGATAGAGGCGGCAGTGCGGTCAGCGCGTCTCTGAGGTAGGGTTTCCATTCCAGGTGCCGGTGAGTCCGGGAAGAGTACCATTGTCAAGCAGATGAAGTGAGTGCCCCTGCCCTACCCGAGGCCCCTGGGGGTGGGCACACGCACGAGGTCTGTCCTTCCCCACCTACCCAAGAGGCGCTGACCCGGCTCCCCACGGCTGCAGGATCATCCACCAGGATGGGTACTCGCTGGAAGAGTGCCTCGAGTTCATTGCCATCATATATGGCAACACGCTACAGTCCATCTTGGCCATCGTGCGCGCCATGACCACGCTCAATATCCAGTATGGAGACTCTGCGCGCCAGGTGTGCCAAGAGACTAGCTGAACAGGGCTTCTGGAGACTCGAGGTGCAAGGCTGGGCCCAAGTCCATGGTCACCACCAACCACTCCCCTGCCCCCCCCCCCAGGACGATGCCCGGAAGCTGATGCACATGGCGGACACCATCGAGGAGGGCACGATGCCTAAGGAGATGTCAGACATCATCCAGCGGCTGTGGAAGGACTCGGGTATCCAGGCCTGTTTCGATCGCGCCTCAGAATACCAGCTCAACGACTCTGCTGGCTAGTGAGAGCACAGGCGGGGCGCGGGGCGGGCGGGGCCCTGCCACGCCCCTCCACCCAACCCTACCCACACCCCGGATCTCCCGCAGCTACCTCTCGGACCTAGAGCGCCTGGTAACCCCGGGCTACGTGCCCACTGAACAGGACGTGCTGCGCTCGCGTGTCAAGACCACTGGTATCATTGAGACGCAGTTCTCCTTCAAGGACCTCAACTTCCGGTACGACCCCGCTCCCTAGCTCTCGCTCTCCGGGGGCCTGCCCGCAAGTTCACTGCCTGAGGCCCTGTCTGATCCCAGAGGCCCCATCCCTACGAGAGACCCTGCCCCTTCTCGGACAACCCTCCCGCAGAAATGCCCGGCCCCTCCGGATGCCACTCCCATCTGGGTACCTCCCAGCCAGCATTAGGAAACCAGGGGATGCCTGTGGGCACGTCCAGGGGACTCGATGCGCCGGCTCAGGTTCCCACGGCCCCGCAGGATGTTCGATGTGGGCGGGCAGCGCTCAGAACGCAAGAAGTGGATCCACTGCTTCGAGGGTGTGACCTGCATCATCTTCATCGCGGCTCTCAGCGCCTACGACATGGTGCTTGTGGAGGACGACGAAGTGGTGAGTGCTCCAGCGGGGCCTGAGCGTTTGAGCGGGGAGGAGGAGAGCGGAAAGCAGAGACAGCGCTGCGGGCGCGGGGAGCATCTGAGAGAGGACCTTCGACCCAGAGCCGTCTGAAGGAGATGAGGCAGCATGCTGCCCTGCTTAGGGGGGCGAACGGGGAGACGGTCTTGGAGCTGTCTGGGCAGGGAGGCCCCGGAGCCCAGAGAGCAGGGGTCTGCCCGCCGGCCGCAGCCAGGTGGGGGCGGTGGCCGCAGTCCCCGGTGCCCGACAGCCTCTGCCCTCCTCAGAACCGCATGCACGAGAGCCTGCACCTATTCAACAGTATCTGCAACCACCGCTACTTCGCCACCACGTCCATCGTGCTCTTCCTCAACAAGAAGGACGTCTTCTCGGAGAAGATAAAAAAGGCGCACCTCAGCATTTGCTTTCCGGACTACAATGGTGAGAACCTCGGCCCGCCGCCAGGCGGCGTCGCAAACCCACGATCTCGGCCTGCGCTCCTCCCGCCGCGGGGAGGATTTGCTACCGGGAGTGAGAGCTCCCCCTTCCTCGCCAGGGCCCAACACATATGAGGACGCGGGCAATTACATCAAGGTGCAATTCCTCGAGCTCAACATGAGACGCGACGTGAAGGAGATCTATTCCCACATGACGTGCGCCACCGACACACAGAACGTCAAGTTTGTCTTCGACGCTGTCACCGACATTATCATCAAGGAGAACCTCAAAGACTGCGGCCTCTTCTGAGGTGGCTCCTCGCGCGCAGGCCGGGATGCTCCCATGTCGTGCCTCTTGGTCTCAATACCCCAAGCCCCATCCCCTGCTCCCCATCCCACCTCTCGACTGCAGGCCCCTCCCCAGCTCTCCAGATCCACTCTACTGCCTGCCCTCTGGCCCCCAACTTCCAGACCCTATTGCTTCCAGGCCCCACCCTGACTCCTCAGGCTCCACCCCATGGCCACAGGCCCCTCCCCTGGCTCACAAGCCCCACCCACTCAAGCTCTTTTGACCCCGCCCCAACCCCCAGGTGTCACTGCTTCCAAGCCCACCTCCACCTGTCTCTCAGTCTAAACCCAATTGTTTAGCCGCTTAGGAATGTTGACTCTGTTCCTTTTTCTCTTCACAGGTGCCTGGACTCATGCATTCCTGAGACCCTGTAGTCCTTGCCGCCTTGTAGCCCCAATCCGCATGACCCCTACCAGCCCCCCAGGACTCCTGGGCCCCAGCCTGTGGCCTCACCAGCCACAGATTCAAAACCCTAAGCCCTGCTAACCTTGAGGGACTTACCCTCCCCCATGGCTCCCAGGATTCCCTGGTCTCCCAGAGTCCGGTGCCCCCAGCCACCCCAGCACTGCCCTTCACGGCCTGGCTGCACTGGCCTCCAGGACCCACCACAGCCAGCCCCAGCTAGGAGCAAGCAGTACTTGGGGCAGCTACAGCTCACGGTGACTCAGCAGTACCCCACTGACCAATCTCCTGCTGCTCTCCTGCCCCAGGAGGCCCGTGATTCACCTGGTGGGTCTGGGTTCAGCAAACAGCCCTCCCTCCCAGAGTTTCATGAAGGGCAGGGGGGCAGGAAGGGAACCCTCCTCCAAGCAGGCCTGCTGCTTACCATCAGCCCATTCTAGCCTTACCACCTCCATGTGACAAGTCTGACACCCATCTGCCCAGTGGCCAGTGACTGCCCCACCCGGCAGCTTTAGGGGTCCAAAGTCCAAGCCAGCTCTGGCCTGTGAAACTCATACATAGACGAATTAGTGAGTGGGGGCAAGCCTGGGAGCTCCTGGTGCCAGGAAGAGACTCAAGCTGGACCCTTCCCCACATATCCTAACCCCTTCCCCCACAGGCTCTGCCCCCTCCATGCTTGGACACTGTATTCATGTCCTACTTACTTACACACCCACAGTACTCCAGGCCAGTCTGTTGAGGGAGGGTGCTGTTGACACCAGCTGTGGCCAATGGCTGAACTGTCCTAAGGGGTGGCTGGGAGCAGAGTCCGGCTCCCATCGATCAGCCCCAGGCAGGGGATTTGGGACAGGAAGGAGGCCCAGATTGTGCCCAGAGGGGTCTGCCTCAGGTAGGGTCATAAGCAAACCCAGGTGACCCTCTTGTCCCTGCCAGCAGCTTCTCTCATCCTTCCCATTCAGGGCCCATTCCCTGGTGGGAAAAACTGAGATCCATGCCTGAACCATCAGTGACAAAGGCATCCATGTCCCCACACCCCTGCTCCCTACTTCCTCATCAAGCACCAAGTCCTCGCTGATGCCCATGGGCTGGGGCCTGTGCTGTAGTCGAGGGCAAGGAGCATCCGTCTAACAAGGCCAGGGCATAATTTGCACTCCCTTCAGCTAGATACACAGACTCAGCAATAAATCTTTGCATCAGGCCCCAGCTGTCCTTTCTTGGGGGGAGGGGGAGAGTGTTAATGATCATGAGTCATGCAAATTTATTAAGTGCCCAGTGCTGGGCTGGACATGAGTGGGAAGGTGGTCCCTTCCAGGGAGAAGCACCTGACCTAACATGGCAGGGGACACTCTTGGGGGCATGGGATCAATTTGGGGTCTTGAGAGGGGTTGAGAGGGGGAAAGGAGCCGTGGGAAATGTTCACAAGGACAATGTTGGATCAAGAGGGGGTTGTGAGGTGGAAGCTCATTCTGGCAGGGACTGTAGTGTGTATAAGGCCCAGGAACATGGGCTGGTGGACCACAGGAGTTCAGTGGAACAGGAGCAGGGAAGGGGAGATGGGGTGGGGAGACTGGGCAGGTGCCAAACGCCAGCCTAAGGGCCTGTGCTTCCTCCAGAAGATGATGGGTCCAGGAAGCCCTTGAAGCTAGAACAATTGCAGGGCTGGGATTAGGGTGAGGCAAATGAGGCACTCACCTCAGGTATTAAGATTTAAGGTGATGCCAAAAAAATCAGTAATCAAGATAAATATTAATGCAATACTTTCAAAAAGCAAAATTACTGCCAAAAAATCCATAATGAACAGAATATCAAAATTTTAAATAAGACAAGATCCAAGAGAGCCCTGCAGAGCCATATTGGACCCTGAAGCAAAAGGAAAAATGTCCACTCCTATATATGTTTTTATGTATTTTTAAAGGTTAATTTTTTTTTACAGAACATTAAAGTAGTTGAAAAAACATCGAACAAGTTGTAAGTAGGTATATTAAAACCCACAATATTACTTTAAGATTAAATATTTTATTTATACCTAAAACAGAATTTATACTTTTATTTTCTTGGCTTTAATGGAAATAAAATCATCAATGATATTTTCCAAATCTGTTTCTGGAAAAAATAATCATTAAAATTTTTCATAAAAACATGTATATAGGGGCACATATTTTTCCTGGGGACTGGGCATGGGGGAGAAGAGGAGTGGGGCTGGGAGGGTCCATGAGGAAGAGACTTATGTCATTACCCTGTGGAGCCAGGATCTGCAAGGAGTGGGACTCACTGACAAGGGTCTGGATCTGTGCAGTGACCAAGTGCATGTGATGCCCCCACCAAGCTGGGACTGCACAGGAGTGTTGAGGGGACCGAGTTTTCTGGACCTGTGGCCACTTGGGGGAGAGGTCCAGGAGTCAGACAGATACTTGGGGCTGGGCAGAAGGCAGCATGTGGGTAGCATCCTCAATGTTCAGGTGGAAGTGGCACTGTGAGCCTGTGCGGGGCTAGAAGGGGAGAGTGAGGGTGCCCAGGCCTGAGCATGGGGTGGAGGGGAGGGACGCTGGATGGGTTAGAGAGCCCAGGACACATGGGCAGCCACAATGATGTTACTTAGAGTCCTGAGGGGAGGATGAGGCTCAGGCCAGTGGTTCAGGACCTCACTGGGTGGTTTTGGGCCTGGCTGAGCTGGGCTGCTCATCCCTGCTAAGGACCCTCTGCCCAATTTACTGGAGTGAGGTGGGGCAGGGGAGAGTGATGGCGGGATTTGTGGGGAGGGGCAAGGCGGAAGACAGAAGGCTTTGAGAAGCTGGCGGTGGCAGGCTTAAGACAGAGGAAGCTGCAGGAGAGGTGGGTTAATGGGGTCTTCCTCATGGCCACCTTGTCTTGGAAGGAAGGTAATGAGCTCCCCAGCCTTCCTAGGCAAGGGACAGAGAGGAGGCCAAACACCATGCAGGGGCTGGACCCCACGCTCCAGGTTCTGACCCTAGGGACTGGGATTCTGAACCAATATTCTTGGATCCCATGGACTGAGGACACTGCCTGGCCTCAAGCTGCCCTGTTCATGGCCAGCAAGTATGGGGGTTGGGGGTCGAGTCTCCTGGCCTGAAGCCTCCTCAGCCCCGCTTACCCCACCTGTGTAATTGCACCCTTACGAGCAGGATCAATGGGTGCCTAATGCCTGATTCACAGTCCAGGGCCAAGGATCAGAGGGAGCTGGCCCAGAGTCGGCACAGTGTCCACACCGTGGTTTTGTAGGCAGGGGGCATTTACTGTGGGCACCTCCAGCCTCCACCATCCCTGCCTGACCTCAACCTCAAGGTGCCCCTGGGGGCCTTCCCAGCCTTCGACTCGCTCTGGCGGGACTAACCTGGCCCAGCCACGGAACAGAGATTAGACAGGCCTGGCGAACCGTTAATGCTGCTGACGTCAGGGCCCGGTCGGGTGGCTACTGGGTGGGGGCTTGGGCCCTCCCCACGGGCAGTAGCACGGCCCACGTGACCTGGGCACATTAAGCCGCTTCAGTGGCCAGAGAAGCTGGGTGCCAGAGCTCAGGGGAGAGAGGGGGGCCCTCCGGGACTGTGGGGGCAGGCTCCAGCCTAGAGGTCACCAGCTCTGTGGACTCAGGCCAGGGGAGAATCAGAGAGGTGGGTTTGCCTATGGATGCCCTCTATACTTCCACAACCCCACACCCCTGCTAGTGCCCAGAGAGGAGCCTCCCAGACACCAAGATGGGCAGAGTATATTCAGGAGCTATGGGTGTTGGTCCTCAAGCCTGGGGTATGGAGGTGAGAACCACCCTCACCTGTGAGGCCTTGAAAGCTCCAACATGACTCCAGGCCAAGGGTCCCGCCCCTGCACACAGCCCTCCGCCTATCAGTGCCAATCCCACATGCACTCAAGGTTCCCTGTGGCCAAGCTGTTCCTTCCATCCACAGTACCCTCTCTTCCCCACCCTGGCATGTGCCTTTCTTCCCCTTGGCAGAGCCAAGCCCACGGATTGCTTCTCCATCAGGCTTTTCCTGATCCGCACACTCTAACCTGGCAGGAGCTTTCCTGTCTAGAGGGCCCACACAGAGCGCTTGGAGACACTGAGCCTGGGGCTGTGTGGTGGGGCGGCAAGAGCAGCCGCAGTCAGGGTAGGATGAGCTGGCTCTTCCAGGGGCTTAGGCACGGTTCTCAGAGGCGATCTTTCATTTGGGTGTTGAGGGACAAGTGAGAGTTGGCCAAGGAGGTGGGACAGGATGGGGAACCAGGAGGGCAGAGGCACAGGGAGGTGAAGGCTGGCATGTTCTTGGAACAGCCGGGCAGTGGGGGAGGTGAAGAGGCCAGCTGGGTGTGAGGCAGGTGCTTGCAGGGCGTCCGAGGAATCAGTGGATACAGATGCTAGGCTCTGGGGAGGACTGGGTTGGAGGTGAAGATGGGGCCTCACTGTAAAAGAGGGTCTTGGGACACTGTGTAGATGGTGTGCCAGGGGAGGTGCTAGTGTGGTGAGAGGGGGCTGCCTAGCTGGAGGCTAAAGAGGGAGGAACAGAGCAGAGGGCTGCCAGGGCCCTGGAAGGAGAGTCTGAGTGATCCTGGGATCCTAAGTTCTGTCTCATATCTCTGACAGTTTCTTGGACCTGTGTCTCAGATTCTGGAGATGGGGGAGTGGAGGTAGGGGACTGGGCCGAAGGTTGAGATAAAGCTCCCCCCCTTCCACTCCAGGTGGCTGCCCCCAGCACAGCAGCTGCGTAGATAGACATTCCCTCCAGCCTCTGGGAGAAGGTGCCTGGTACCTCTCAGAGCCCCATAATGGCTGCCAACTGTCCAGACACCTCATGCTGGGCTGGGAGATTTGGCAGGTGGTGGGAAAGGCCTCTGAGCTGTGCTTGCCCTGGCTGGGGCCCAGGCCTAGCATCAACAATCGGGCAGCCCCTCCCCCAGCCTGGCCACAACTGGCCTGGCCCAGGGACCGCACCTCACACCACCCTCAGGGCTCCCACAGCAGCCCAGCCCAGCTGGCCCCTGCTCCCTCCAGTCTGGGTTGAGGACCCCAACACCCACATGCTGGGTGACCTTGAAGCCAGGCCTGGCTCCTCAGGAACTGCCAATAGGAGCACCCAGCCCTTTGCAAATGGCTTCTGTGAGCATCCAGGGTGTCTGGAGTTGGGAGGTGGGGGACAGACCTGAGACCCTGGTCAACACCTCTCCTATCTGACTCTGTCCCACAGGCAGTCCTCAAGCCCCTTCAAAGTGTGAGAATCTTAGGGTCTCTCATGACCAAAGTAAGCTGTGATCTGGGATTACACCAGCCCCAAATCAAGGGGTAGAGCCAGTCCCTTTCTATTTTTCAGCCATCAGCAGGGAGGGAGCTTAGATGGTTTGAGGTTTTCAAGGATTGCCACCATCCCAATGCCTTTCTCTTTAGTCCTCCCATCCCCTGGTACTCCCAGCCAAAGCTGAGTCCCCTGGGCTCACAGCTTCCCCTTAACCCACTGCCTTCAGGCCAGGGGAAAAGCCAGAGCCATTTCCTTGTGACGCAGAGGGAAACTGAGGTACGCTAGGGCTTGGCTGCGGGGGTGCTGTGAGTCGGGTGGAAGGGAATCCTGGAGTCCTGACTCCCAGCCCGGGACAGGGAAGGGGTGAAGCCTGTCCTCTGAGGGCATTCTCCCCAATACCAGGGAGGGGGGCAGACATGACACAGAGACATCCAGCTTGACTAGGAACAGCAGAGGCCATGGATTAATCAGATCAGAGCCAGTGGCTGAGAAGCAAGGGACACAGCTGTTCTGCAACCCCCCCCCCCAGCTCACCCACAAGGTCAAGGCCTCCCCCAGCTCCCTGCTGGTTGCTCCTGGGCTGGTGGGCCTTAACACCCACCACACACCTCTGAGCACTAAGGCCTTGGGTGGGAAGCAGGCAGGGGTGGGATAGGAGCCCTCAGCCAGGTGGGGTCACCCTAAAACCCCTTCCCCTGAGGCACCAAGTCCCAGGCCCCACTTCCCATGGGCAGACACAGCTGTCTCCTACTCTTTATTTTTGTTTTTGTTTTCGTTTGCGGTACGCGGGCCTCTCACTGTTGTGGCCTCTCCCGTTGCAGAGCACAGGCTCCAAACGCGCAGGCTCAGTGGCCATGGCTCACGGGCCCAGCTGCTCCGCGGCATGTGGGATCTTCCCGGACCGGGGCACGAACCCGTGTCCCCTGCATCGGCAGGTGGACTCTCAACCACTGCGCCACCAGGGAAGCCCCTCTCCTACTCTTTAGAAATAAGGAAATGGGGGCATGGCCAGGGAGATCCAGACAAGGCTCAGCGTGAGCCAAGAC